CCCAGGAACATTATAAAATTACATTTATTAGTGTTATTTTACCAACTTTACATTTTATTCAGCTAAATTTGTTGTAAAATACAATATTTCATGATCTTTTAGAGCAGCCCATATGCACGCTGTCAATAGCATCCCTGTATTGGCACTGCACTGCCTGCAAGGTTAGAGGGCAGGGGAATAGGAAGCGGAGCAGAAGTTATTAAGCCTCCGCCAGGTCCAGGTCCCTGGAGCATAGCACCTCTCTTCCTTTTCAGCAATAACTTTTAGAGGGTTTTTGGTTTCAAAACCCATCAGTCTCTGAAAACACTAAAAGAGCATATATTCAGCCTTTTAGGCCAAGAACAGAGATGACCAACTACGTCTTCCCAGCGCCCTCAGTGGAGGCCAGCTGAGTAAGGACGTGCAACAAAAACTTCCTCATTCCCAAGAGTTAATATCAACTTTTACTACATCCATTATTTTGTGCTCTTCCCAGTCCTAGTGTCTGGGCTGCTTTGGAAAGAAAGGGATCAGGACCAGATTTTAAAAGGGAAAAATGTCCTCAGCACACCAATTCACACACCCGTCATTCTCATGCTACAGAAAAAACCCACAAGAGTTTCAAAGTGAAGAAATAACAAGGCTATGAGAATATGCCTGCACAGGAGTACTTGTGCAAAAAGAAATTCAGGCCATTTGTGCAAAAGACAGTGGAAAAAGAAATCCTTTTTATATGGTGAGGAATGGCTTCAGAAATCTAGATGAAGCATTTCCAGCAAGATAGTTAGTCTCAGAATCCTAATTGATAATGCCTAAGAGGCACAGAAAGATTAAAATCTTGGAACAAAACAACAAACAAACAAACTGCATTCTGTATATGAGCATATTTGCTTTACCTGTGATAAGTTAAAACACCCCAACAAGTGTCCTGGAAAATAAACTAGAAATAATGTTATGTAGACACTTGAACAAATAATCCTTTCCCAGTATAACATACAAATTTTAATCAAAGAATTAAGCCATAGTGTATTTCAGAAATAATCAGAGAGCCATTAGTTAAAAGCCAGCCTGGTTAACCTCACCCCTTAACCTTACTTCAAACAGGTGCTGACATCTTTGGAGTCATTCCCATCTGCAGGCTCTGTGCTATCACATATCTCTAGCACTATTATGCCCTCTCTGGTCATTGCTCAAGTAATAACTAGCTCTCTTCCCTTGGCTTGCACAAAGAATGTAGTACCAATGCTTAAATGAAGTTACTGTTTATTAATTCATCCACAGACATTTGCACATTCTTGGCAGTTTAAGACATTCTTTGCCATATGCTGAAATACTTTTCCAGCCCAAGTTCTAGAAGAGCTATAACTTTTTGCATGAAATTTATTTAGAAGAAAATGCAGATTGTAAGAAACTTGAGTACTATGTTTTTAGCATAAAAACTAAAGTGCTTTCTACTTAACAGAACATCTCCATGAACACTCCCCCCCAGCTGCTATAGGCAAGAAAAGAATACACTAATACGTAAAGAGAATATTTAAAGAAATATTCTACCACAGAACATATTACAATAAGTCAGGTTTCATTTTCAGCACAATAAACCAGTATATAAAACAACCTACCCAAATTCTGTAAAATCTTAAATTAAGGTTATATGCAGAAATACTTCAAACTTATGGCCATCCTCTGACATTCAGGTAACACCTCCAAATCAATACCTCTAAAAAAAAAAATTTTGTCCCCAGCTTCTTTACATGATCATTACCTTTATACCTTATCTAACAGCACTATTGTTCAAGGAAATAATCATATATTTCCAATCCCTCTGTTAATTTCTTTATGGAAAACATTTTCTTATGTTTCCTCTAGCTACACTTAAAAACCCAGTTACTTCACAGCACTTATATTTATACATTAATGTTCGTTAAATTAACACAATGTATCATATTTAAATCAATGAAAAGCAACGCAACTGAAAATTTTAGTGACATATCATAATGTGAAATGAAAAAGGGACTATGCCTAATACCAGACACAAAAGCAAAGATGAACTAATATGATATTCAGCCACTTAGTGCCTTGGTACATGAAGGTACCAAGGCCAACAGCTGAAAGAGTCCTAGATAACTTAAACTGAATAAATCACATTAATGCTTTTGAAGGGTAACATGCAATATCTGTATACAATCATGGTTTCCTATAGAGTAGCCCCCTATTTCCTCTGCTGCTATCAAGGTGTGGATACCCACATGGGTGGTAACTACCCCCAGGGTCTTAACATCACAATGTATCAGTAGACTACCTTGAAATCCTGAAAAATTTGACAAATAAAAATATAGGCCCTGCTATTATAACAGGAGTACCACCTTTCTTCCATGAGTACTCTTAGCCTAAGGCCATAACACAATTGTGTTTAATCACTTCTGGTCATTGCAGTTTAAAGGTGATTCTGTGAAGCATTACTGATCATAGCAAGAGCAAAAGAAAATGCCAAAACCTAATCTCACCATGTAATTTTAACAGATCTAAATCAGCCCTACTCACTGCAAAGCTTTTTAAGCTCCTATCACTTTGGGGAAAGACTTTCTTACCTCTGTTGACAGCTGCGAGCAGTCACAGATAGAGATAAGGCTGACTCCAAGACAAAGCAACTACAGATCGTTAAAAAAATAGTCTTGGTTTAGAAAAATTCCAGGCAAGCAGTGCATACCCCCTTTCCACTTGCTCAAAGGCACTCTCTAGTATTCATAAATAGCTGCACATACGAAGTACACTTCTCTGCAATTTCTTGTGTGCTGTGAATGCTCTAACACGCTTGGGGAACTCTGAGAGGATCAGACCTTCCAGTTCAGGGCTTCTTTACATCATCAACTCACTGAAAGGGAGATGGAGCACACTGGAGGACTGGGTCATACAACATTTGACTGACTATTGCTCAGAAAACATATCCATCTAATGTTTCAAGCTGGCACAAATAAACGTGAATGCTTATGGAATGACACCTTTTCTAAACTGTCCCGAGCAGGCTCCTCTGGTCCATTTTCAATTTAACATGTGTCAATACCACTTGGCAATTGAACGACTCAGCTATATATAGCTCCATCGTGACTCTGAACAGTCGAGTGCCACAGTCGAAACTACCAGCACATAAATATATTGGCTTTAACTGACATTGCTCAGAATATATTCTCATCCCACTCAGCTGTTGCTGAAAAATTTTATTGATGCTTTTATAAAAAGCATGTTTTCAAGCATAACGAAGCCTCCTGTATTACAGTTATTTTCTGCTTCTGTTGTGGACAGATAACTCTGTGAAATCAGTCTTAAACAATAAAGAGACCAGTGATTAGGTTTCAACAGAACACTTTAACAAATGCTTAATATAAAACTTTGAAGTAAATTTCAAAACTTCACAAATGCCACTGAGTCAGAATTCTGAGCAGGGGTTTACTGTTTTAATCCAAGTTCCTGTAAAGATACTGTGGGGAAAAAAATTGCCTGATTTTAACACACAGTGGAAATAATCTCTTCTGAAAGTTAATCGTAACCAAATGGCAATCAGACTCTATGAAATTTATTCTATTTCTGCTAAACAGTATACTTTTACCACTAAAAAACCGCAGAGCATGAATCAAGACAAAGCGCAGCATATATTGTAAGGCAAATCACATTGTTTAAAAAAATTGCCTCCACCATACGTTCCTCTACTATTTCTTCTGTTCTTCTCCCCTTCTTGTTTCCTCAAATTTAGAACATTTAGAAAGATTTTCAGAATTAGATTCTGAGAAAAAAAAACCATAATCAAGAAAACACCTACGAGTTTTCAAGAATCAGCATTTTAAGCATCAGTATATAAAGCTACATGGTGAAGTGGCTTGCTTTAAATATAAATGTTCTGCTGGAAGGAAGATCATGTTTTGTGATCCTGGAAATAAGGCTTTCACTCATGCTTAAAATCATTTTAGGATCACTGTAAGAACATGATGGTTCCTCCTTACTCAGAAAAAGGCTCCATAAAGATGTTCAGAATTAAAAAAAATAAAAAAGAATTAAAAGTGCAGAAGTTCATTTAGAGTTATAAAACGAAACCGTAACTAAAGACGTTTCCTCCTAGCTTACCGAGTCAAACACAGTCAGTGGTTACTGCAGCGGTTAATTTTTAATGCTGAAATTACTACCTGCTTTGTGATATGTCATGTGGTCACTAGCAATACTAAAATATTTAACAAGAAGCATTGACACTATACAGAAAATTGTTTTATATGAATTCTCCATGATAATTTCCAGGTCTTTTTTGTCCTGTTTGTAAGGCCAAAGAATTTAAAATCGTTAGGCATGTAAACCATTCCAGACATTCACTTTGAGACAAAAAATTTTAATACGGTTCTTAAGTATTTAAAAGTCTGTAATGAATGATACTTTATTTCATTTTAACTATGTCAAAAGATATGTGCAGTTACAGCAACTATAGATAGTAATAATCTTTCTAAATTCAGCGTTAACTTTATCAAACCTTTTTCATGTCTCAAAGCAGTGGCAGCCCAGCTGCTGTGCTCAGTTATACTGTAAACTCAAGAACCTGATATGTTCCCAGACCATAGAAACTCAAATGGAGCCTTTTCAAAAAGCACATCTTTAGTTCCACAAATGGTGTGTTTCTTCCTCAGAGGACAAGCACAAAATCCAACTCCATTAAATCACTGAAACACCAAATCACCACCAATGGTTCAACAAAAAAAAGGAATAAAGCAGATGCTTTCAAAGAGGAAGTACAGACGGCAGTATCAGGTATGAAACACATCATCTAAAGTTTTCACACTCCAGGGATCTCTAAATTTTCTAACATCTTTGGTATTCACACCTGTAGCAGACAGACCAAAGAACTTATCAGTTAAAATTGGTTTGTTTGGTTGTTTTCTTTTAATTTAAAAGTAATAATCAAACAATGTATATCAATAAATACAAAAACACTTGAACCAATGTTGTGTGCAAACAAACCAGAAAAACTATAAATAACTACTCACCAGATTCTCTTCAAACCACTCCCGTATGCACACTGCTGTGGCGCCTGGAATTTGATTTCGCAATGCTTCTTTCTCTTGAGGATCCTCTAGCATTTCCAATGCCATCTTTAGATCTTCCAGGAGATGCAAAATTTGAAATGTGCCCAAGTATACTGATGGAGCAGGTGACACAATATCATAACCACCATTAGCATACTCTGTAGCTGACTTTGTACCTAAACCAAGTAAAACCAGGAGAGACAATAATGTTATATAATTTTTTTGTAAGTGACAAATATAGAGGTACTGAACACTACAACATTTGGACTTCAGGTGCTAACTGAAGAGAATCAGTGTTTTAGGCTTAGAAATACTTGAGTTAGTCTCTAGATAAATAATGAACACCAAAGAATTGAATGAGAGAGGTATGTACATGCATATTAAAAAAAGAATTTTGACCTAGAAAACATTTGCAATGCCCATTAAATTACAAATGCCAAAATCTTACCACTAATCACCTGTTATTTTCCATGGTTACCATGAGATGTCACTAACTTCTCAGCTACACGCCAAGTCCCCACACAGAGCAGTGTTAAGCAACTAAGAAAGCTTGATGCAGTCCTTTGACTAGAAACTTAGATCACGTTACCAGAAATAGAAAAATATGTGACCTTCAACAGATTTAAAAACCTCCCACAGAGAATAAAACCCAAAATGTTAGAAATAAAAATGGCTAATGAAACTTTGCTAGCTCTCTAACTTAAGCACCTCCCTCCAGCACCAATATTATTTTCTCAAGAATAATGTATCAGCAGCAACAGACGTATCTCACTTGACCAAAGAATTATAAATAATACAAATTATAACATCTCTGAACCTTTCTGTCTTAATTCTCTGTTTCAATGTGATGCACACTTAAAATAACCTATCTTTCATCAGTCCTGAGTTTCAGATGTTAATTTAATATAATATGCCTTTCTTTCTTTAAGAACTAGTCAGATGAAAACTTCTATTTGTTCTACTTTTTACAGTTTTTATTTACAATTCATTGCCTCATGTACATAATAGGTTGTACTCATATCTTCTTTCCTGTTCTCTCTAGCATTAGCAATTGCATTTTCCCCCTTTATTTGACTTCATGGGGAGGTTTTTCAGGGTTTTGATCATTTGTATTGTACTCCTCTCAATCCTTCCATTTTGTAACATAATTTACAGGTGTATGTTGGTTACACATAGCATACAGTATTCCTTAGAAGACTGTATCACTGATCTACACAAGGGGATTATAATAATCTCCATTCCATTCTTTGGTTTACTCCTGTGTTTAACATAATTTACATCTAAGTTATTAAAGGACAGAAGTCTTCACTGGGCCCTTGAAAATAATTTTTTTCCTAAGCAGATTTTTCTAATTTGAAACCCCAATGTACAAATTATTGAAATTTTCTTTTTGAATGCACTCTACTCGGCATTAATCAATGTTAATTTGCCTGCTATAGTTATTTATCTACCATTATTGGGACATTACAAACTATCTTTGAACTCAATAGTTCATTTTACATATAGCCTGGCACACAACTGATATTTAAATACAAGTACACTGACACTCTAGGTCTGAAATGGCCCTACTCTGAAGTGCCTTCTGGATCTAGATTAGCTTTTAGCCAAAATGCTAATTGATCATTTAATCCTCATAGTTTCCCATCTTGATCAATTTTTCATCCAAGAAAATATTTTTTCTCTCATTTTGTGGCTTCTTAATTTTACTCAAAGCCTCTGTGAAAATTCTAAATCATAATTTACCAGGTATTCTTCAACTACTGCTTTAATGACACCAGGAATTCTGTCAGATCAATTATCTTTGCAACAAACTGTGTAGTTTGAATGCTACTGTACAATTTATGTGGGGTTTTGTTTGACTGTTTTAAACAAAGCAAAACCATCCCAAGAAATGTCTCAAGTTTTGCAAGCCTCAGTAGCAGGGATTATACTTTTCTATTTTCACTACTGGAGTGTTTCATAAAGTCTTAACCTCTTTTCAAACTCAGAATATTCCGTTTGATCCTGCTGACTTCCGTTGCTTGTGCGAGCTTATTTTAATACCTTCAAGTCTGAGATCTCATCTTAATTTCTGGCTAAGACCATGTCCAAGATAAAGTTTCTTCAATATCCGGTGCCACAAAGGCTGTTACACAAGACAGCTTCACCTCATAAATCAACCTTGTCTTCCTGAACTATCTCAACTAACTTTTTTGCGGGATTTGAGTATTCTAAACACTAAAAGATATTTTCTTGTGTACTTCTATACTCTCAAGTACTTATGTAAGCTTTGTTGTTTCTGTTTATGTAGTTCCTAATGCAGACTGAACACTAACAAGTAAAAATAACAGATTTTCAAACTGTGTAAGAGCCATTTGGATCATAAAGCCTCTTAAATCTTTTCATTCAGCCAGAGTGGCTCACTACTTACTTTCCAAAAGAGATACGCGCACAAATTGAAATTTGTCATTGTCTTTTTAAATGGAATTAATGCCACTTTTAGAGATGTGGCTTCCTTGGTTCTAGTGACATTAGGAACTAGTTTTCACATTCCTGCGAAGTTTTTCTTTTTGCTTAGCAAGTACTTTTCACACCAGAAAAGCAGACAGAATGCAAAGTTATTTCATAATCAGCTTTGGTAGTTATCCTTTCAAGAAACTGACAATTTAAAATAGATATGGAATGGGAAAAACTTAATGGAACATTCCACTATACCATTCTTCATGTTATTTATACGAATACTTTTAATATCCAGACAAGAGAAAATTCACACAATCCAAACAAAACCCACACAAACTTTAAAGCCCACAACCAATGCTTCAAGTGTGAAATCAAAGTAACAATCTTTAAGGTAAATACATATTTAAAACAACTGTTCATGAGTTCAGTTATTTAAACTAGGTAGCTAGTTTCTACAGCCAAAGATACAGGCATACCGTGCATACCACTGTAACTCTCTTGTGGACAGTATTGGTGACATCTTCCCTCACCAGTCTAAATGCCTCACTGCATATCACACATCCTGCCTTCATCTTCAGCTTATCATGGCGACAGCATTACTGGTAACATCTACCTTCTACAGAAACTAATTTTAAATTCCATAGGAAGACTCAATTACAGTAAAATTCACACATTTTGGCATGCCTTTATTTGATTTGCCTCTATCAAAACACTAGGAAAAAACCATATAGAAACACTCTTTAGAATCTCGGCAAGCAAAACAACTGTCACCCTTCAGAAACTCAGTTCTATAAATGCAAAACTTCTCAACTGTTGCAGCACAGGCAGGGCGAGCCAGGAATTGCATGTTATGTGATTTCCTGAGCCTAGGCATTCTCCATATGCATGCTTCAGTTATCCCAAGCTCTTCCACTCGCTGTTCAGACTGGCAGAATTCTAAGCATCCTTAAAGTCTCACATGGTACACAGCAATGGAAGGTCATAGTTTCTCAGAGCTCTCAAGAACTGGGTCAATGTGTAAGACACGTGTGCTGAGTTTCCATAGCTGTACTCTAAAGTGGGTCCTGAGGACAGTCCTGCCCTCTGTAGAGACACTTGGAAGGTGGTAATAGGTTTTTATCAGGAAAGAACATCAGCTTGAGGTTTAGTGACCGAGACAAAGTCAATTTAAGAATTTTCAGGGTTTTCTTTGTACTGGTCCCCTGCCTGCCTCAAGTTTTCCTCCACCTAAGTTTGCATGAAATAAGAAATAAAAAAAAGCCAGAAGGGAATATTTTTCTATTAATTGCTAACAAAGAGATGCAACACACAAAAATAGTCAAAGGCATCCTCATGGCAAACTCATGCTCCCTAAACTACCTAACGACACACAAAGCTAGGATGTCTTATGACTTACTCTATACTTATGACTGGAAATTCATTCTGAGCATAAATAGTACAGCATTTTAAACTGCAGAAGACAATAAAGATATTTTAAAATTTTCTTAGCTAATAATAGTAAACAGGCAGCACAGTATTTGTTTGCTTACATGAATAAAGATGTAATGAGCTAATAAGTGAACTGTCTGTAAATTCTTATATGCACTAGTTCCATTAAACCTTGAAAGGAAAAACATTTCTTGAATTAATACCAACTGAAGTTAAATGAAGTAGAGATTGAAAGGCTTGATTACATTCATAATTTTAAATTATCCATGAAAGAAATGATTTAAAAAATAAAAATCAAGATTTGTACTTAGACTGCAAGAAGCATGCACTAGTGAGAGAAGAATGTTCCCATGTCTGACACCATCAGAAGATTCCAATTTTCAGTAATCCAAATTCCACTAGTTTCAAGTCACTGGTATCACAAATATAAAGCAAAGACTTAAAAGTGCTTTGCTGGATAGGGGCCAGAGTACTCAACAAAAGTTACAAATCCCTCCCCTTGTCTGCATCAGGAGCTACCAACAGATCTCAGTGCATCACCAGAGACCATGACCCTTCACCGCCCCCATGCAGCACACACATACACTCCTCCTCTGTGAAATTACTTTTAAACTGGTTTGCTACAGCAGTATGTTTTGCTCCCTCCTGAAATTGAAGATGAATTCCTCTGAATGCAACAACTAATGCACTTGATACTAGGTAAAGAAATGCAAAAGCGTGGAGTTCAACTCTGCATTTTAATTCAAAAAGCATCCTGTTTTACTGCTTAAATTCAAGTGAATCACAGGCTTGAGTCTCCTGTTTGTTTTCCATATAGTTTCATATTAAGAAGTGTATATATATTGCTCATGAGAAAGACAAGAACACACCCTGGAAAACAGCAGTAAAAGCACGTAGGAGTAAATAATTTTATTTTTTGCATTAGTTTAAACCTTTACCTCATCATGCTGCAAACCACATTAAGATTTAGCACCAGACAGTAAGAATTTGAATCTCCGTGCAGATCAATGCAAAAGAAAAAAAAAAGGAAAGAAAAGAAAAAGAAAAGAGAGAAAAAAGATATAAAAAAGAAAAAAAGAAAAAAAAAGTTGCCACAGAGCAAACAGAACACTATATATTACCATTATACTGTACCACTAACAGCAATTAATTTCTGTGTCGCTCTGTTATAGATAGCTGAAATGTGGTTCAAGCACAGTATTTTACAGATATTCAGGAAAAATGTGTGCAGTTTTGAACTCCTGCAGAAAGACTCATTTTATATGGCTTTGAGCAAGTTACAGTCTTCCCATGGCTCACTTTTCTCAAG